GCCGCTGGAGCCCCAGACCGCGGCTCGCTCGCCACCCACCTGTTAGTCCTGGACAGGACCTGACACTCCACGATTTCACCAAACACTTCAAAGCGTTTCTTCAGTTCGCTGGAGCTCATGCTGCTGGAGAGGTTTCTGATATACACCACCCGGCCTTCCCCCTGGTAAAGCAAGCGAAAGGTTTCAGGCTCCGGGAGCCCCGCGCCTCTGGGCTGCCGATGGGCGCTGGAAATGCCGAGAAGCCCCACGGAGCCAGCACCGGGAATCAGGCTGCAGCAGGGCGATGCTGCTGCGGGCACAGCCTGACATCTCTGGGGTCTGGCTGTCTCTGCTCCAGCTAGCTCATGGGTGTCACCCCCAGGACACCACTGCTGCAGGGGACAGCCATATCCACGTCCCTTAGGACGGTGTTACAGCCAGGCTGAAGCAGCCACCCCCGCTGCCTTCTCATTGAAATTTCTCCTGCATTCCTCCAGCTTTTTCAGCTTCTCCTGGTGAAGATGCCAGGAAATATTTCCAAGAATTGCTATGGGCAAAATTCAATTGCATTGCAGAAAAAAATGCCAGAGGCATGTGGGAGCACGTGCGTGTGTGTGCGTAACAGTAGAGAGGACCAACACTTATTTCCCCGCACGCCCACCACCCCACCCTGCTCCCACCTGTGGGCACATGCAGGGTTCCCAGTGCACGAGGCTGCCTCGGCAGCAGGACCGCATTCATAATGGCTGAGCAGCTTCAGGGATTACCCAGCTCCCCGCTAATTGCCAGTGCCACGTGCGCTGAAGCACCAGCGTAGGATGCTCTGGGCATTTCTGTGCCAAGGACTCCATGTATTGCCAATTGCCGGTGGCTTCCGCTTCACATTAGGTTTTTCTCTCCCCCCTCCACCCCCATGTCCTTGTTTAACACTGGCCTCGCACCAAGGGATGCTGAAGCCAGGGCTAATGGGCTCCACTGCTGCTTTTCTGGAGCGGGAGATGAACTGAGGGCTGGGGACTGCTTTATCCCAGCGCGGGGTCCCCGCTCACTTACGATGGCCTTTTCCCGTCTCTTCTCCAGCTGGCCCCGGTGCTCGCTCCCGCCCTGACACTGCTCGCCGTTCTCACACCTGGGAAGCGAGGGAGAGGAGGTCAGCCGGGGGGGATCGGGTGGGGAAAGCTTGAAACGTCAAAAAGAAGTCGAGGCACGCGGCGCCTGCAGCAGCGGGTGGGCAGGTGCTCGGAAGCACCTGCAGACGAGGAGAGACAGAGGTCTGGAAACACTGGAAAGGACACTGGAAAGTCCTTTCCGATAGATGCCGGAGGGGGTTCCCAGCCGGCGCTCACCCCTCCCCAGGCACGGCTCTGGCCCCTGCCCATGCCCTATCGTCCCCAGCACGATGGAAATCCCTGGCTGCTTCCCCTCAGTGCTGCTTTCTCTGGCCATGACTGATGTTTTCAGCAGCTGCTGATGTAGTACCAATTATTTCAATGGTTTTTCTTTCATTAATTAGCATCTTTATTACTTGGGCTAGCAGACCAGAGAAGGCCAGGGCTGCTACGCACCGGGGCAAAAACACAGGGTGCAAGAACAGCCCCAAGTGCCCCCCCTCACTGCCCCCTGTACCTGAAGGTCCGTCTGCTTGCGGGCGATCGGGACCGGCAGCATGAAGACCCCGAGCTGGACCTGCTCCGGGAACAGTAATTCAAACTGGTCCTGGAAAGGGGATTTCTCCGCAGGCACAGCTTGGTGTTGCCGTGCTCCTCCTCCTCTTCCTCTTCCTCCTCCTCTTCTTCCTCTACAGGGGAGCCGCTCTCACTGCAGCTGTCTTCAAAGACGGTGTCATACTCAGGGGTCTTGCAGAAGACCATGTCCTCGTCATCGAGAGCACTGTCCAGAAAGCCAAAGTGCTTCGTTAAGCTGGCTCTGATCTCCTGGTCTCTCAGCTGCTTGACACCGTCCTTCCACAGCATCTCGCCGCCCGCCTCCTTGCCGCCGAGGTCCAGCCCCTGGTAGTGGGCGGCCGGGACCCTCCTCTTGTGCTCCGTCTCCACCTGGCCCGGGGGCTCCCACGACTTGAGCACCTTCCTCTGCAGGGCAGCCTCAGGCTTCAGCACCTGGCAGTAGTCGTGGTCCCCGAAGGAGCGGGAGAAGGGCCGCTTGAGCACGCCCTGCTGCTCGGGGAGCACGGGGCGCCCGGCGGCTCGGCTCAGGTGGGCGAAGAGCTCCGTCCTCTCGGGGTGCTTCTTGGGGGCTTTCTGGGAGGCTGCTGCATCCTCTGCGCCCCTGGGGCTGGTGGCTGTCCCGTCCTCCTTCCCTGGCTCCTGGGGGATGTCTGGCTTGTACAGGTCCTCCTCGGCGGGCTTGTATGG